TATTTAAGAGATCCAACCAGTGTAATTTATTAATAAAATCTATTACTTTTTTTTGTAAAAAAGGTGAGAATATTTGACTTTGACTTGGTCTTTTAAGATACTGTATAGTTTGAAAAAAATAACTAGCTGCTTTTAATTGGTTATCAGTTAATTTTTCAAGTAAATCTATTAATAAATTACACTGGTTGGATCTCTTAAATACTTTGGTTTTTGATGAATTATTAATAATAATTTGATATGTAACTTCTAAGATTTCATTGCTTATTAGCTCTAAAAAAATGATTTTGTGTGCAATTTTTAAGGTTTTATCATTTATTAGCTCTAAAGATTTTCCAATTTTCACGAATTTTTTGCTTTCATAAATTATTATGCCATTTAAATAAAGCTACCTCAAATGTCTTTTTAGATTTTCTTAATCTTTTTGGTAATCTTGGCATTTTATCTGCTGTATAATATATAAATCAGTTAATACTAAGTTTAAAATTGTATTTGCAAGATAAAAGTTGCATAATTTTTATTCAAAATTTACACATATACGTACGAATGCTTGTCCTTTAAAGTTACAGTCAGATATTTTTAGATAATCAATAAAATTTCTGTTATTTAATATAACATTAGTACATTTCTATATTATTTTATAATATTTTATTATATTAATATTAAATTAATAATCTTAAAATTATAACCATAATATTACTTTTATAGGTTAGGAAATCTTTTTCAACTAAAATAAACGAATATGAAAAGAAAATGCAGGTGTAAAAGCAATTCAAAATATTAATAAAATTCAATATTAATTTATAGTAAAATTATACTATTTTTATACCATTAATTTTAAACTTTAAACTTTATTTACTTACTAAAAGTCTGATCATAATAAATGGTCAAAGTTGCTGACATAGTTTTGATTAACTAGTCGAGATAACACCCTAATATAATATGTAAATATAATAATAAAATTATAATCTTTTATTTTTTAACTAAATTTTATTTATAAAAACATAAATATATGAATATTTTCGAATTATTATTTATACTGATTATTTATGAATAATTTGTAAATAATTGATGATTATATTATTAAATTGTTATGAATATCTAAACTAATTTTTTAGCTAATAAATATTTATTTATATTTATAGATGATTCATATCACATCTCTATTATAATCTGATTTTAATAGCAAATAACCTATATGTTCAAAACCTTATCCAAAATATTTAAAATTAAAAAAATGTGTTCAAAATCTATTACTGTTTTTAATATCTCAATATTAATATAATAATATTTAAAATTATGATAAAATTTGATTAGTTTATTAAATAATCTTTAAATATTATTTAAAAATTTTAATTTTTGTAATTAAATAATATTTTAATAAATTTTGAGAAGGAAGATATTATATTAAAAAATATTATAGATAATATTATATAGTAATTTTAATTTATTTAAATTAGTTTAATATTTTTAACTATTAATTAAACTAGTTTTATTAAATCTAAAATACAAAATTTTTAGTTTTAAACAATAATATTAGTTGATTAAATTATGTAATATTATTATATATTAATAAAAAAATTCTTAATAAAGCTATATTTTATTATTTTATTTATTGATAAAAATATGTGATGATAAATTTTGTAATTAATTAAATATTATTATTTTTAAATTAATTTTTTTTGTTAATTGTAATTATATAATTATAATTATTAGTTATTTATTTACAAAATAATAATATTAAAATATAATATTCTTAGAGTTTTTAAGAGGTAAAGATTAGGAAATAATTATATTAATATATACTAAAATGATTGGATTTAACAATCAATAATTTTTTCAAAATTAATTCTATATATTAAAATTAATCATATTATGGTTTTATTATTTGACTTTATTTTTTTTTATGTGTTTTATATATATATTTTTTTTATATTATCTTTTAGAAACAATAGATTCTAAATAATTACATATATACATATTTCTATTGATAATCTGTTTATGATCATTTCCATTTTACTCCAAGAATTATAAATCGTTCATCTAATTTTTTTGGAGAAGTCCAATCCATTTTTTTCATGAGATTGGGAAACAATACATAAAATCTTCCAGCTATATCTTGCAAATCTATTGTATATTTAGCATTTGGTTCATTGACTTTAATCCACTCATAGTCTGACAAAGTTCTTCGTTCACTATGTTCATTCAACAGTTTACCTTTCAACATTCCATCTCCTGTGAATTGAATGCCTTTAGTAGCATGTTTATAGATACTATTTATTAATAAATATTCTGGTTCTTTTTGACTATTATTATAATTTTCGTCAACATCTTTAGGAGTTAAACGAACGTAATCATTTATATAAATCATTTCCGTTCCTAGCAAGATTGCTTCATAATTAGGATATTTCTGCACTCGCAATTTCTCTGATGGATCTTTAATTCTTTTTAAGCCATCTTTTGCTTCTCTATGTTCGTATGAATACACTGGAGTATATGTGTGAGAAACCTGATTCACTCGATCAATAGCCTGAACATATGTTTTAATATTCGGTTCTTTATAAGAATAATTTTATTAGAATTTAAATTTACTTTGTTATTTAGAAATTTTGAAATGATTAAGAAATTACCTAATTCTTCACTTTTATTAAATCCTTCCGGAATTTTTACTCTACAAGCTAACCACGGTAACAATGCTTTACGATCAACTTGAATAATTTCAGATAATTCCAATAAATGAATTCTGTAATATGCTTTATAGACAACATTATAATCATCAGAATTCGTGTCATCAGATATAATATTATTGGTTATTGGAACTTTCCTAGTTTCTAATATTACTCCAGGCCAATACAAAATCGATATATCATTTTCATCTGAAGATCTTATAAGTTTAATATGTTGTTCATTTCCTGTTGTATTTAAGTTAACCATAACAACTTCTCCTCTTCTGTATAATGTTTTTGCGAATTTTGGTTTATTAATATTCCCAGATTCCATTCCATTTTTTTCTGTCTCACTTTTAATTTTCTTTCTTGATCTTGTATTTATTATTTTTTCTTCAGTCAGTTCCCCCCTTTTGCTTTTATTAGAACCACTACCACAATAAAGACATTTGCAAGAATCTGTTTGTCCAGAAACAAGCCAAATCAAATGTGGCTCAAATTCCTTTGGAGATCGAAACTTATAAGCACCTGTTAATATGAATTAACGTTATAAATAAAAATAATAAAATATATAAAGCGTTTAAAAAAAATTGTAATTACTACCAAAAAGATAACGGTCATGACGAGGTTTAGTACTATTTTTATATTCTTTATTATGCTGGTAAAGAACATATCCTTCAGGAAAATCGACTAAAACTTCATTTTCTTTTACAAAAAAAAAGTTAAGAAACGAATGTAAAAATAATTTTTGAAATAATTTTATTTTTACCTTTGGAAATTTCCATTTTACCATATTTTCTTAAATAAATTGCGAGAGCTGCGCCTAACCTTTGAAGCCAGTGCTCGGCTCTTTGATCCATATTTGTGAGTCGTTGGTAATAAGAAACATTTCCTCTTTCATCTTTATTAGGTGAAAGATCTTGTGGTTGAGAAGAACCTATTCCGTCAGTTGTAGTGACTTTTATACCATTGGGAGTTATTTCTACATACATATTTCTAAAACAAATGATATTTTTTATGTTACTTTAATCAATGTAGAAAAGAGTTTCATGATATATATGATATTTCTTATTTATATATGTAATTTGATTGTCTAAATGATCCAAAACAAATATGCAGATTATTGCCATTTTAATATGTGGCTAGTGATGTTAATCTCAGGAGAAGGTTTGGATTGCCATATATAAATTAATATGTGAATTGCCACTATAGAAAGGGATGAATCAACGAAACGACTCAATTTTTTTGAATGTTTGCAAGTCTTGAAATACGAATAACAATTAACTTTTTTTCTGCGAACATGGAAATGACTCAAATAGTGAATAATAACTTACTCTTATTTTAAATTGCCACGGCAGATATTTGCATTTCTCCCAAAATTGGTCGCTGCGTCAACGTTTTCAATGCTTATTCTGTTGAGAAAATGATATTTAGTTGTCAAAAATAAGAGCCCGTCAATATCGAAACTCTTAACCAACGTAGTAATTACTTCAGACTATCACTAATGGACAGTTTATAGACTGACTTTATTTTAGATACCAAAACCTTCAAAGAATTCGAATGGCCAATATTCGAAGTCAACAACGTGACATAGCAGCCGTGTGACTTCAATGAGAACTGCTTTTTTAACAATTTACGAAAATCCATGAATAAAGAAAAGCATCAAGGTACGGTGAATCAAAGGCAACGTGATAAATTCGATAGTCACCGCAAAAGTATTGACATCTTGATAGACATTTCTGTGAACCCAAATTCGGATAGACATTTCTGTGAAACTCAAATTTGGTATCTAACTTGATAGTCATTTTTGTGTTACTTTAATTAGAGTAGCATAATACAAACGTTTTAAAGAACATTTCGATAATAAGTTTTGAATAATTAACGTGTTCCTTATGCGCAAATAATATAAATACGTGAGAAGGTTTTTATTTTTTTAAAAAAAAAAAAATCCTTCATATGTATTTCATATTATTTAGAAGATCTAAGTTTGTATTACGGTATTGATCTATCCAAATTTGGGTTTCACAAAAATGTCTCAAGAAATATACCGAATTTGGGTTTCACAGAAATGTCAATCAAGAAGCATACCGAAATTATTCATAGCATTCATTCACTTTTTAATTTCGCGATAAAAAATTTATATAATAAATATTTAGTTTATTTATCTCGATTAGTTTATTTTTTTTATTCTCGTAAAATACTAAATAATGGACATTATAAAATTTTTTTACAATATATTAAAGGCTACCTGATATTCATGAAAGATTTTGAAAGTTCTTAATTCTTTTTCTTTTTTCTTTCTCAAAAAAAATATTTTTTTTTTTGTAAAAAATGTATACACAGTACATACAGTATCAAAAACGATTACTAAAATTTCACGAGATCACATGTTATACACATCATATTTTATCGTCTGGTATGCAGTTATAAAAATTTTCTACTTTTTTTTAATGTAAAAGCTTATGAAAATAATAAAATTTTCATGAAAATGAAGGTTCTATATTTATTTTTATCTCAATTTGTTAACGTTGAACTCGAACTTAATATTTACTTAGTAAAGAAAAGATTTAATCAAGATAAAAGTCATGTAATACACACAACAAAAATTCATTAAATTCCTTAAACTCTAATTGTTAAATTCAAAAGGATTTGTATATAGGAAAACTAAATAAAAATAATAAAAATTAAAAATTAAGGTTCAATAAAATAAAATGAACACAACTAATGATAATAAAAAATTAATAAATTATTAAAATCATTCGAAATATTATTTGAATGGGTAATCTGGATCATGACCCAATTTACATATGCTCAGAACATTAGAAGGACAAACAAAATCATTAATTCCATCAAGAAAACTATCAGAACATTTCCTCCAGACCCAATATGCAGGTGTTAAACCTGGATTATATGGTCCTTGGCAATCAATATAACATGAAACGATATTGGTTGCTCCTGGGCATTGTCTGGCGATAAATGTTTGTGCAGTGTTTATTTTATCCGGACTTTCGACACTTGCGACTGCTACATTTTCATCAGGTTTGAGGCACATGAGCAGCTGACAACCCGCATTAGCACCCCAGATGAAGGAAATTATTAATATTCCAATAAACAAAAATTTCCTTCCAAATTGAAGTTTTTTTGTAATTTCGGTAATTATACGCATAGTAAACTAAAATAATAGAAAATGATTATGATAAGAGAAATAACATGAAATAAATAATAATCCAGACATTAAAGATGATATGAATACATACATTGTAAATACGTAAAATTTGAAGTGAATGAAAAGAAGATTAGTTGAAATTTAGAAGGCTTTTAAATACAAATTCCTCTACTAAGAAGAAGATAGTTGAGCACAAAATGGCTTTGTATGCGCATCGAAATTATTTTCATTCAGTTGTGTGTTGGATAACAACAACAAGTACTTTCGACCTTGGACGGGAAGCTCTTTATGTTAGAATAATGAATGCTCTTAAATTATCAGAATACGGTTTTCCCTATTTGGTATTACACGGGACAAATTTTCACTGCAGTCAGCGTTAATTTTTAGACGCATCAAATTTGATTTGTACGGCAAACACGTATATGCATCCAATTTTAAAAAAGTAGATCGATACGGGAAGTTTAGATTTAGCATTCTTATGGAAATATGAGTTTAAGGAGTTTTAATTTTAAGAAACGACATTAACTTTTTTTTTGTGGATACATATCTTAATTTCGAAATGGTTGTTTTGTTTAACTTCTTCCACAGTTTTAGATTATTGGAAGAAGTAGTTTTATTATGTATACGTACGTAACTCTTTATATGATTAACAAATAATTTAACTTTTAAAATTTATATTACGCCAAAACTTTCATTAACTTTATTGTCCTTAACATTAGCATTCTGCACAGTAAATAATAGGATTGCGAAAAAAAATCCTATTCGAGAATCATTAAATATACTATCATCAAAAATTTAATCGCGCATTTGTATGTTTCTCACAGCTTGATTGAAGACCTATCGTTTTTTTCTTGATGTAATAAATTTTGCTGACACCATTTTATTTAAGACAAATGCGGTTAGAAGTTAAAAACCGTTTACGCAAAGGAATGGAACATCTTTAATAGGATAGCGGATTTACTAAATAACCCAATCATGTCAAGTTTCTATTATTTTTTAATTTCTTCTTTTAATATAAAATCTTTTATTTAATAATATCTATCCATCACATTATTCTTTGAAAAGTTTGGTATTGGTATTATCTATCACAATGTGTAAACTACATATTTATAAAAATTTGTAAATTATTTAATTTTTTTTTATTTTATGCTATTAAAAAAATTGGTTCAAGAAAATTTCTCACGCACGCTGTTATGAATCGACGTGGCAGAATTTTCTATCAATATACAGTTTATAATGTTATTTTCATTGAAAAATTTATGATTTTTAAACGCATAAATTATAAACATCATTTGTATTTCTCAAAATGTTATAAATTTCATAGACATTTGTTGGAACCCAAAAACTCAAAATATAACATCAGGTAAAAAACAAAACAAAGTATACCGAAATAAAGGATTGTTAAAAGAGCCAATTTTTGGATAATTATTAAGTAAAAGTTCTTTTCAAAGTAAAAACATTGGTTGATTCGATCATATAATCAAATCTCTATATCAGTCTAAAATGCATCATTTAAAATTTTTGAATGTTCCATGTGGTGCCATTTGGAAACACCAACAGCCGGCGCAGCATTTGCTGGTCTACCCACATATTTTAACTACAAAAAATTAAAAAAAAAAATATACATATATTTTTTATATACTAATTAAATTATATTCAATAACAGAATTTTTTTTTCTCACCTTTCGTTCATTAGGTAATATTTGATTTAATCTTGGTTCAATAAATGTAAAGGCACCACTATTTTGTGGTTCTTCTTGACACCAAATGAATTCTACACAATTGGAATATTCATTATTTTTAATATAATTATCTTTAATTAAAACATTAAATATATATATATATATTTGTTAATACCATGTATATTATTATAATCGTATTTATTTAATTCTTCTTCAATATCTTTTTTTGGAAAAGGGCATAATTCCTACAATAATTAATAGAGTTAATATAATTTAATCATTGAATATTTAATTAGTTATTGTTCGGTATACCTCAACTCTAACGATCGCGACTTTATCTTCCAGTTTCTTTTTGTGTCGTTCCTTCACGAGATCATAATATAATTTTCCACAAACAAATACAACCTTTTCAACCCTAGAATTAACAAATACATACCATTAATCAATAAAATTGTATTAAAAAACGAAATCAATCCGTCTCGACTATTTACTTTGACCTTTCTGAAATGGTATGTTCTCCGAGAATTGGTAGAAATGTCGTGGTGGATATCATATCTTCAAAAGTTGATACAGCATCCTAAAAAAAGTACAACAATTAATTCCGCATGAAAATTAAATAAACCTAAAAATATAAAGACAACTTGCAGGTGATCTCAATAATATTTTTGGTGTCATAACAATAAGAGGTTTTCTAAAATTTCTCTTCAACTATGATAAAATATTTTTTTGGTTAATATCCGACATAAATTCATATCGTAGTTGATAACAGGTATGGAAGCGAACTCCAACCTGTCTTCTTAAAGCATGAAAATATTGTGCGGGGGTAGTAGGATTTATTATATGCATATTTGGATTAATCGGTATATTATCGTTTATTACATCAAATCTATCGTTTGTAAGCTATTAAAACATATAATTTTAAAAGGTTAAAAAAAGTTTGATCGAATTAATTAACCAAGTTTATAAAGAAATGTTACCTGTAAAAAACGTTCGATCCTGCAACTACTGTGCTCGGGTCCTGCTCCGTCATAACCATGAGGTAATAGCATGACCAACCCGGATTGTCTTAACCATTTAACTTTTATTGAAAGAAATAAAAATTTTTGATAATTGAAATTAAAATAATTAAATTTCAAAACGTGAATGAAACAAATACCTTCACCGCTTGTGATATAAGTGTCAATGATAATTTGGGCTCCATTAAAGAAATCACCAAATTGAGCTTCCCATATATTGAGATTATTCGGACTTTCAATTGACATTCCATATTCAAATCCAACCACCGCTAATTCGCTCAAATTACTATTCACAACCTATAATTGATTTTCTTTCTTTTTATACAAACAAATTTGTCAAATGGAATGATTTTGCAATATACGAACCTCAAACATTCCTTGATCTTTCGATAGATTATTTAAAGGAATAACAACGCGTTCTGTTTCTTGACAAACCATCATCGCATGTCGTTGACTGAATGTACCACGGCCTACATCCTGCCCGCATAACCTAACATTATGTCCTTCAAGTAGCAATGAACCTAGAGCAAGGGCCTTCGTGGAATATTGAAATTCGGTTAATCTAACAGAATTTAGGTACATTTTTTTTTGTTAAATAAATTAGAAACCTCGGCTGTTGCCCAATCAATTTTCTTGCCTTCAGCGATTCCTTTTAGTCTGGATTGTATATGAAATTTCTTTAAACGAGGATGAATTACCTATTATTGAACAAAAGATTTATCAACAAGGACGAAAAATATAAATAAATATAAATATTAAACTGAGATTTTAAATATAAACTTACAATGTCATCTGGAACAGTTACTGAAATTTTCCCAACTTTCTCTAGAATTTCTCTTGAGACTCCTATGAATGTACTATAAAAGTTCATTTTTTTTTATTCTGACTAAAACTAATAATATAAATGTTTTAAATGTTACCTGTGTCAATTTTTGAAACCGTTTCAGTTGGCATGATCATTTTACTCCATTTCTTTTTCAGGGTATCTGCCTATATTATAAATAAATAATTTAATACTCGTTCATTCGAATACCTAAAATCATATTAGAATAATTGCCTCCGGCTTATAATCTTCAAATAATTTAAGCTGTTGTTCCAAAAATTTAAAATAATTCTCTCTAAATTCATTGATTTCGTTTCGAGTAATTATTAATTCCTCGCTCTATTTGGATTTATTTTTTTTTTTTTAAAAAAAAAATTAAATAATCAAAAATAAAGAAAAATATACGCGTAAAATTATACATGAAATATACCAATAACTTTTCTTCATAAAGATTTGGAACGCTTTTCCTTGATCGAATATTGGCATACATCACAGGTTGCGTATAAGCAGGTTCGTCTAATTCATTATGACCCCACCTACGATATGTAATTAAATCTATTATCACGTCCTACATAAGCAAGAAAATTAATAAACGTTTTATGGTATATCTGAAAAAATTTTAAATTTTATTTTCTACCTTTCTAAATTTATTTCGATATTCAAAGGCAATTTCAACGGCTCGCGTAACATCCTAATTGAAATTCTATTTAATTTTTTTTAAAAACAAAGAGAGAAAAGTTTTATAATATTACCTCAGGAAAATCACCATTAACGTGAATAACAGGAGCATTAATCATTTTTCCAATATCTGAACTATACCAACTGCTTCTTGCATTTTGTGCAGGCGTTGTATAACCCAATTGATTGTTTACTACGATGTGAATTGAGCCACCGGAAGAAAATCGTGGTAAATTTGACAATCCAAAACTTTCCATAACCACTCCTTGTCCCGTAAATGCCTATATAATTATTATAATTTTTATTTTTATTTTTGAAATAAATAAATTATTGGAAATTGTATAATTTTCTTTTATTTACTGCATCTCCGTGTAATTGAATACACATAACGCGATCTCCCAATTCGCAATCCGTTTCGGATTTTAAGAGGTCCATTTGTTTTGCGCGAGCCTTTCCCATAGCAACAGGATTTACCGCCTATAAAATAAAACACGATTTTAATATTTTATTTTTTATTTTATAAAAAATATAAATAAGAATTTATTAGTAACAACTCATACTTCTAGATGTGATGGATTATGCAACATAGAGACGTTTAAAGGTTTTTCTGCACCATAATCCAATACAGGCGATGAGGCTAAATTTTTAAATGAATTAATCAAAAAAATTTTTTAATCTATAATTACTTCGCAGTCAAACTTTCCATTTAAAAATTACCCAAATGAGATAAAACATCTCCAGATGCCGGTAAATGTTCTGGAAACTCTGGATTTCCTTTTACTTTATGAAATAATCTTACAGGCGAAAACTTCAATAAATCGGTTAATAGGTTTAAACGACCTCTATGTGGCATACATAGAGCAGCCACAATGATGCCAGCTAAAAGAAAACATTATAAAGTTATTTGAAATTTAGCAATTTTACGATAAAGTATACGCACGCTAATTCATACCTTTATTTGAGACCTCAAATAATTTATCCAAGGCAACCATCATTGATTCGGCTCCTTCAAGGCCGTATCGTTTAACTTGAGGAAATTTTTTTGCCATAAAGTGATCAAATACCTATAATAAAAGGTCGAATCACGTCACTTAATAAATATTTCAACGATTTTTAGATATGTGAGATAACTTGCCTCAGATCTTGTGAGGAGTTCGAAAATTCTTCGCTTCTCTTTTGCATTTAATGAAGCCTTGTCATAAGATTCAAGAGTACGATAAAACCATCGTCTTTCATTCGTATACTAATGAAGAAAGTTTTTTTAATGTATCGTCGAAATTTTCACATGATTGTTTCGAATGCATTCTTTTTTTTTTTTTTTGGTTACCGGAATATGCATGAACTCATAAGCTACTTTTCCACAGTAAACCTTCTTCAAATAAGAAACGATCGTTTTTATATCTACATTATCTTTGAAATCTTTTGTCAGACTTGATTTATTCATATGCAATATTCCTAAAATCAAGAAAAAAATATTAGAATTCGAATGTTGAACTTGATATGGATATCGTATTGAAGGATTGTAAACGTTTACCATTTAAATTGTAAAGTTCATTGGAATCCGTAAATCCATATGTTTTATAGTCAAGAGCTGCAACTTCTCTATTTAATCGATCATTTCAAGTTTAAATTCAACGGTTTTCAAAGATCAAAATTTGATAAATACTCACTCTAGTTGTAAAATACCTAAGGGATCAATATGAGCTCCTCTGTGCCCATGAGTCCTATACGCATATACAAGCCGAAGCAAATTCGCATTTTTGATACGATTCGACAATTCTGCATCTGTGTCTATATGCATGGAATTTAACTTGCTTGTTAGCGTGGCGCAGTCAATTAACATTAATTAATTTATCAACATCTCGATCACTTTTTAATTATTATCAAGATTCAAAAAAGATCGTTTGATGTGATCATTTGACAATAAAAAGTCGCTGGTTAATTAAATGTACTAACAATTCTGCATGGCATATACTCTAGGAATCCTATATCCAAAGGTACCATCGTCATGATACTTTCTAGAATTGGTTATAATCCACGGACGAATCATAAGTCTATTTATTATCTCATGTTTTCTTCCAATTCCAACTATTCCAAAATTGGTAGATCGAACAATGTAATTAGCTAAATTTGACATTGTAAAAAAAAAAAAGAGTTGGACCTGTTTGAAATAAATGATTTGGTTTGCTTTATAACAATTATTCTTGGTCACATGGTATCAAGGAGAAGTTCTCACGGACATGTCTAAAAGTGTGACAAGTGTTCTACTGTGCCTAAATATCGGAGATGTCCAAAATCGTTTAATGAATGAGGACGCAGATCATCATTCCTTTTTAGTTATCTTTTTTAGTAAGGAATACATACACTCATGATTATTTAAAAATTTTTTTAATTCGATGGGGTATGGTAATTATCAAACTTGGAAAAAAATTGTTTTTTCAAATGATTTCAATACATCCGAAACCATTTTTAAATTAATGAAATTAATATAAATTTCGTCGATCTTTTCCTCATACAAGCGTCAATTCGAAGTCATTAAGTAATCATTTTTTATTTTTATCTCTTCAAAAATTTGGTATATATATTCTCTTTTTTTTTTTTTTTCTTTTTTTTTTTTGAAAATTCTTGACTCATAACGAAAATGTGGACCTCATTTAATATTGTTATGTGGTTATCAAGTATATTTATGTCGAGAATTATTTGGAATAGTGAAGCAATTCCCCTAGATGTATATGATTTTCATTCGACACAACATAGTTTTCAAATAAATGAATTTAACAATAAAGAAATTTCGGGGAAATTTTTGCACATTACCGGTAAATAAAGTTTTAATCATCACCTCGTTTATTGATCGATTGATTCTTTCTGAATACAAAGAAAAAAAATTCAATTACGTTTTGCATTCTTCAGATTTACACCTTGACCCTTATTATCTTCCTAATAGCAACCCCAAAAAATATTGTCATCGTTATGCAAAAAAATCAAAGAAAAATAAATCAGGAAAATTTGGTACCCTAGGTTCAGATTGTGATTCACCTTACGCATTATTAGATTCGACATTCTCTTTCCTTAAAGAAAACTTTCATGATGCAGATTTTATAATTTATACTGGTGATTCTCTTAGGCATGATAGAGATTCCAAAATTCCTTTTCCGAATGATGATGTCATCTCGGGCCATAAAAGTATAGTCAAATATGTGACGGAATCACTTGATTTGAGTAAAACTAAATTTGTAAGTAGCCTCTTAATAATGACAAAGTGATTCGAAAGACAAAAAATGAATCAGAATTATTCACGGTTTACTTCAATAGATCCCCACTTTAGGAAACAATGACGAATGGGGTAAGTTTTCTGAAGACGTGTAAGTTATGACAATTTCTTTTGATTGATTCTAATTTCTCGTGAATAAAATAGAACACAATCAGCTTGAAGGTGGTCCAAACACACTTTTCGAAAACCTGACTCAAATATGGGCGCCCTTAAATTTAAATTTAACGTCTGAATTTGCAAATGGCGGGTATTTCAGACAAGATATCAATTCAAAACTCAGCGTATTTAGTCTAAATTCGATGTATTTTTACGAATCTAATGATCAAATAAAGGATTGTGATCAAATAAATTCCCCGGGAGCAATTCAATTGAAATGGTTTAAAAATCAATTGAAAAATGCAAGGCAAGAAGGAAGAAGAGTTCTTATCGCACAGCATATTCCACCTTTGGATTCTGATGGTAATTATTTAAAATTTTTTTTTTTTTTATCCGTGCGTATTTTGAGCATGAAATCTTTTCCTTTTCCTTTTTTTTCCTGTTAATCGTTCATAGGTGAATCTTCATTTCTTCCGCAATGCGAAGAAAAATTCGTACAATTGCTCGGAGAATTTGCTGAGATAATATCCGGCCACTTCACTGGTTTGTACCAATGATTATCATTTTGTTTTGTAAACAAATTATTAATTTATTTATTTATTTCCAATACAGGTCACACAAATCTTGATACTTTGACCTTTGTAACAGAATCCGAAAATATTAGTGGCAAATACAATTTATACTATCTTGATAAGGATGAAGGCCCTTCAAAGAAATCGACCGACAATATTATCTTAATTTTGAATAATGCTCCTTCAATAATTCCAGGCAAGTAAATTTAATTAGGTTCTTTTTTTATAAACGAAAAATTGTCTACATCTTTGGTAATTTTTAAAAAAAAATAAACTTTATTAATTTCATAGTTCACAACTCGGGAATTCGAGAGTATAGATATTCCACTTCTTCAAAAATGTTTGGCGTATTATCTGATTACATTCAATATTATCTTGACATTAATAAGGCCAATGAGATAGGCAGAGCGGAATGGAAGATTGAATATATTGCAAGTGAAGCGTATGATATGAAACAATTATCCCCATCGGAATGGGCCAAAGTTTTAGATGAAATGAAATCCGATCAAAGTGAATCATGGCAAAATTATTTAAAATTTGTCACAGTGAGCAGTGAATGAAAAATCAAAAAATCGTATATTTTAAGAGTATATACATTATTTATAGGAATTTAACCCAAAATGTTCTAAATTTAATATAAATATATAATACAAGTCTATCTATAAAAATCATTCACGATTTCTTACTTTTGTTCTGTCACTGATACGTTTGAAATTGAAATTAAATAAATACTAACGTTAAATAGTTACCGATCATTAATGAAACATACCACTGGGACCGAATGCTTTTTTTAGTTTTCCGGATAAAAATTCTTTGGATAAAGAAAAATATACTTAAGATTCATGGAATATTTATATATATAAAAAAATCTCATGTTTATAAAAGTACATACCAACAAATGATAGAGATTCATCAAATGCTCTCGTAATATAATCAACTTCTAAAGATAGATAAATATTTAAATCATAGTTTTCACAGAATATTAAATTTTATGTCGTGAACGTTACCTTTATTTGTTTCGTCCTCAACTTGTTGTTCATCATCACAAAAATAACTGGAATATTCTAATTTATTTTTTTTTTTTAAAAAAAACGCGTTTTAAATTTAGAAATTTCAATAATATTAATGACTTAATAGGGATTTTTCACTTACCCGAAATATCAAGAACTTCACCTGAATCTGGTAAATTCGAAAAATTCAATAATCTACTTGCAAATATGGCTTCGGGATGTGAAGTTTGACTGAATCCATTATTAATATTTCCGGTTAATAGATATTCAGCAGCCAAATCACGATCTAGCGCATCACAATATCTACTTTGTATTGTTTTTCTAATTTCTAATATTTCTGGTCTTTTTGAAGGATCGCTATCCCAACAATTAATCATTAAATTAATATACCATTTCGGCGCTCTTCTTTCCATTTTAGGTCTAACCCCTTTACAAATATCAAGAGCTAAAAGTACATCATGTGGTACATTATGAAAAGGTGGTTTATCGTGTAAAACTTCCCACATTAACATTCCAAAACCATAAATGTCCGAAGCTTCACTATAATCATGGGTACGACGTAATATTTCTGGTGCTATATAAGACAAAACACCATAAACATCTCGTTCCTCAGATATACTCTTCAATGTTCGGTTAACGGGACGGCATAATCCTAAATCGGCGACGAACGTTTTAATGGTTCCGTCAATTGAAATATCTTGGAGGATGTTTCCGCTATGAAAATCTCGATGTATTAATTTCATGGAATGAATATCTTCCAAACCCAATGCAATTTCCTTAAGTATGAGTAATTTTTGTCCCCAAGTTAAAAGGGAATTATTTTGGTTCAAATAATGACGGAGATCTCCTCCATTCGCAAATTCCATAACCATCATGTAACTATTCGACACCTTGTCCCGAGTTACGCCATAACAGTGAAGTATTCTGCCGTTTCTGAATTTATAATGCGCTTGTAACTGGGTGATCACGAAAGGTTGGAAATGAATCAATCCATTGATTGTAATATTGAATGAATTCAATTTTTTTAATAATATTTTAATTTACCTCATTTAGAAAGTCAACAGTCCAATCTTCTGAATTATATAAACGTTTCAACGCAACCGGTGTTTTTGCTGTGAGAAAAAAAATTACTCTAGATAACGATAGAAATTTCTGATTGATTGTTTTATTTTAGAATTGCTCTCTTACCTTGTAAGTCCCATTTACCTTCAATTTTAACTAATCTTCGGTCAGGACCTTCCATCCAAACACCATAAGAAACCTCACCAAATCCTCCTTTAGCCAAATATTTTATATCTACAATTTTATCGTAATCGATCCATACCAAATAATCTCCTTTATTTGTAGCCTTTCTTTGTGTATTTCGAATAAATTCATCTATGATTGCGTTATTACTTGTCCAATTCATAAAATCTTCACTAAGACGTTTACTTTCACAATGCATACACCAACGATCGTTTGTACGAGGATTTGTACATTTTGGACATGATAAATCAACATCAATTTGTTCGTCGAACAGGTATTGAATTGATGAATAATATGATGGAGAAAATTGATAATTTGTGGAAAATTCAGGTGAATTAATTGACTTCATTATTCTGAAAATGAAGCGGTTGAATTGTTAAATATGCGTATTATCGATTAAAATTGAAAAAAAATTTTATAAAAGAATTCTTTCCGTCTTTAAATATCGGAGTTATAACCTCCTCGTGTAATATGCATGATCCTTATAAGGCGATTGAACATCATACTCTCCATAAATGTACATAACCTCGGATATATTACAGTAACAGTCGAACATAATGGTAATTGAAAATTTTACTTTATTTAAATTTTTAACATATACAAATCGATAGAATGTCATATGATCTGTACACTTTATTCAATTTTTCTTTGACAATTACAATATTACAATTCTTTATTTAAGATCTTAAAAGTTGAAAAGAAAATATGATTTTGACAGTAAAAATAAATATAATTTTACATGAGAAAAAATGATTTCTTAGGTTGTAAAGGTAGTTATTCAATAAGTTTTCATATAAAATTTGAAAATTTGAAAAAATTAAAAAAAATTGGTTTTTTAATTTAAATAAAGGCAATTATTCAAGTAAATTTTAGAATTTTGTTAAAATTTTTTGATTTTTAATATAAAGAATTATATTTTTAAATATATTTTTAAGTGGTTTTTAACTAAACATCAGTTGAATAATTGCAAATTTATTTTTTTGTAATATTTTAATATATTTTATAATATACTTGAAGTGTGTTTTTATTATTCATAGATAGATGTAAAAATAATGGTGTTTTTTTATTTAAATTTAAATAAATATAGGTAAAAAAAGTATTAAATACACATAAAAAAAGAGGCTTAAAAAAGTTTTGATTATTCATATGATAAAATATATCAAATAATAAACAACTAGCTGAACTATTCGCTTTTTAAATTTATAAAATGTTTACGAGAAGTCAACAAACATTTTGATATAATAACTGTTCAATTTGATTAGAAATATAATAACGTTTACATATTACAAATCTAATCATACTAAAAGTTTTTAAATTTTGATAATATTTATTTTAATGATATTTAATATAATGGAGTTAGCATAAATAAAAAAGTTAAATAGAATAAAGCAAAAATGGCTTTTTTAAATTTTAATAAAATTATGAAAGTATCAAACTTTTTAAATATTTATTAATAGATATAAAACTTAATAAATAAATTACTTTTTAGTAAATATTTTTTTATTATTTAATTATTAATTAACTTAATAATTATATTTTTAATCTTAATATTTATTTACATTTTCTTTTTTTTTTTACACAAATAATTTACTATCAGATGTTGCTTTAAAAAACTATAGAATAAATATTAAATAAATTATTATAATCTTCTTAAATTCTCTAATTATTCCTTTTTTATTATTATATTAAATATCTATCTATAAATTATATAATAGTTTTTACATTCTTTTTAGCATTATTATATCATTTTTATTTTTAAGTCTCTTAATTTTTATTAAATAATAAAGTCATTATTCATATTAATAATTTTATTATTCAACACTCATAAAAAAATCCAATTATACTATTTGGTTTTTTATTCAAAAAATTCAAAAGATGCTTTAATTCTTAATTTTTCAGTTCTTTAAAAAAATTAAATAATATTTATAATTATTAATAAAATTCTAGTAAAAATACTATTCAATAATCATTAAAAAAATTTTTTAAAGTCTTTGTATTTTACTTTTTATTTTTAAATTTTTTTTTTAAAATATTTTACTTGAAATCTTTTTCTTATACTTTCTAGATAATAATAAGCATAAAAACTTCTTATATAAAGAAAAACAAAATGTTTATTATTTATATTATTTGTTCAATTATAACTTATCCTTTAAATCATAGGGTTTTGCAAGCAAATTTACTTGCTTATTTACTATAAATTCTCTTTTGATTTACTTTTATAAATAATTAATATTTTTAAGAAATATTTTTTTAAATTAATTATATAAATATATAATATATTATAATAAGATTTATCTTTTAATTATATAATAAAACTTAGAAGCTAAAAATTTGTAATTTTTACAAAAAAAATGATTTTAAAAAATTTTATAATTAATCTATAAATAAACTTTTAGAATTTACTTTTAACTATATTAATTATAATAGAATATTATAAAATTATTTATAAAGAAAAACTTTT